CCACAAACATGGAGAGGTTGGGGGACCAGCACTTGTTTGGCCAAGAGAAGAGAAGGTTAAAGGAAGATATCATTGCTGCCTTCAACTCCAGAATGGGAGGGCACAGTGAAGATGGAGCCAGACTGTTCTTGGAGGTGCACAGTGACAGGATGGGAGGTGACAGACACATGCTGCAGCAAAGGGAAGTCTGGCAAGATAAAGAGATTTTTTCCATTAATAGAGGTGGTCAGACATGAGGACAGGGGTCCAGTTTGAGCAAGGAATTAGACTAGATGACTGCCAAAGGTCCAAATTATTCCATGACTTCATGGAGAGATGATCATGGCAGTTTTCATTTTACTTTGTCTCAATAAATTTGATCACATTGACAAATCAAAGCTTTCATCACTAGCTCTACAAAGCAGTCTGGGCACCTGGAAAATGAGACTGCCACTTTTGTGCCTTGTCTCTGGGAGGATCCTGTGGCTCTAGAAGTGTTTCCACATCCAGTACCTTGTCCCATATTTGCTTTACAGATGGGGTCCTCAGCTGCTGCCATTCAGCAGTGCTCCCAGAGGCCCAGCAGGGACAGTGCCAGGGGGACAGGGCTGTATTTCATGCTGGCTGTGGCCAGTTGGTGCAGTTGGAGTGTTGTTAAAATGCACACCTGTACATCTGGCATTAACATCACCGTATTCAATTCCCTAAGTGATCTCTAACAGATTATTCCAACAGAACAGTCTTTAATTTACATGTTTCACTGCATTTGCAATGCCCCAGCATCTTATCACATTTATACCAACAGATCTGCTCTTAACCTTGGGGAAAAAAGAAAAAAAATTAAAAAAAAAAATAAAAGGAAAAAAAAAAAGGTTTCTTTACTGCCCCAGGTCCCAAAACTGGGTGTCTGGCTGTGCCTGCCTGATTTGGCCTAGTTTTTTCTTTTGCTGCTTGAATTCAATGGCCCAGTGTATGTGATGCCCTGAAAGGAACACTCCACCCTTCTCCAGGAAAAATTCTCCAAGGGCAGGGAACAGTTTATTAAGTCCTTTTCCACAAAAGCACAGTAATGTCACCAAGCCCACTCAGTCATGCAGGAGATCTGCATCAAAGAAGAATAATAGAGACATAATATCCTTTGGGCTGAGCAGAGAGCTGGGAGAGGATTGTGCATTTGGGGGTGAACAATACCATCAATGCTACCAACAACAGCATTTTACATTTGGGCAACTTAATAGGAAATGAGGGCAGAACTGACCAGCACTGAGAGAGATCAGCACACACAGCAGCAGCACACAGAGTGCCTGGGACCATGGAAAATACCCATTAAAAATATAACTGTCAAGTTTGGATACATCTTCCTGAAGCACTCATGACATGTAGTTCAAAATAAGAAAGAAGTGCCTGAACTGGTGCTGTATTTCAAACCAGCATTCAGGGTTTGATTTTATATTCCACTTCCATTTTAAAATCTATTTCCAGAACTGCTGCTTATTAAACCTGCCCTATTAAATCATTCCCCTATTAAATGCAATATGAATTAGGTTTCCCAGTCTCTTTTTCTTCCTCTTAACATCCTACACTCTAACATCCTGTACCTTTCTGTACAATAATTTCTGCTCTTAACCAGGAGAATGTCACATATCTGAAAAAGAAATAAGTGGTGAGTTTATGCTCTCTGCATTCCTCGATCTCATTATGTATACAATGTCCTAAGGCAAGAGTTTGCCAGCTCAGATTTTCACTTGCTCTATCCCTTTGTGTTCCCATCACTGTTACTGACTGTTAGCATTTGTTTTTATTTTTCTCTTAAGATTTTAATTTTCTTTTGCCTAAGTCACTGATTAAATAACCTAAACTCTTCAGAGGGAAATTTAAGATTTCCTGCTTGTATAAAAACCAGAATGATTCAGTACCTGTGCTGGAACATCATTAGGTGGATAACATTCATTTTGCTGGAGGTCTCTGGTAGCTCAGTCAGAAAAATGACTTCCCTTCCCCCTCTCTCAGCTCCAAGAAGCTGGGTAAGGAAAAGGTGAGGAATCTTTCCATCCTCATAAGCAGAGCCTGTGAATATCAGCAGTGGCTGCACCGCAGCCCCAGGGCATCACCAAGCCATGCTGGGCTGCTTTTAGTGGCAGTAATGAAAAACAGGGCCAGGACTCTGCATATGGTGGGCTCTCTAATGTAGAGTACATGTGAGCTACCAAAAATCTTCTGCCTGTGACCTGTCTTGCAGAAAAATGAAGAAATATAAGCAGCTTCTTATTTACAATGAGCCATTTCAAAACAATAGCCTGGGCAACCATCTCCTCAGAAATCAATCAAACTAATCAACCTTCACCTAGAACCAGAACCCACAACAGGGAGAAGTCCTAGAGATTTCATCAGCTGAGGATTCAATGGGACTCATGAGATATTCTTACAGCCTCCACTCCCAAACACATTCAGTGGCTTGAAGAACACAGTTAAAAAATAATAATTGCATGAATAGCAGAAAAAGTGCAGACATCACAGGTCCAGCAGAAATCAGGCCAGCTGTGATGCCATCTCACCTATCCAACAGGTCACAGGTCATGCTGTCCTGAACACCTGGGAATGGCTAATGTGCCTGGAGAGGATTTGTTAGGTACAAAGCTGAGAACTTCAGTGATTGGGGAAACAGAAAAACCAAAGTACAATTTTGGTTCTGTAAAAAAAACCAAACCCAAAAAAAGCCCCCAAAAAACCAAACCAAACCCCAGAAACCTTTACCTTCAACCAAGCATAAGAGATGGGGACATGAAATCCCTAACTACCAATAAGAGAGCACAAACTGTATTTAAAAACACACCACAAAAGCATTCAGAAAATAAAAAGCCATTTAGCAGGTAGCTAGGTGCTGAGAGGAACAGCCTTGTTTTCACCACATTCTAAGCTGGAAGTACTCCTAAAATGCAACAGTCAGCATTATTAATGCCCTTAAACTCCCTGATTGACTGGACTGTGGACAATGTCCCAGTGCTGCATTAACTGAGGAATAACCCCAGATCCTGGCAGAGGTGCTGGCAATTATGGGCCTGTCTGAGAGCCATTGATTTTATAAAGCAGTTTGATCTCAACAGAGGTGAGAAATCTCTTCTTTCCCAACCTGCCCCTTCCCTAGGGAAGCTCTGCAGGGCAGGCCCCTCCACAGGGCTGTGCTGCATTTCTAAGCAGGAAAATGAGACAATCACAGGCCCTGCAGTCACCCCTTGACACAGGAAGAAAGTCCAGCCTTGATTTCATCAGGGAGAAAGAAAATGGGACTGGAGAGAAGTATCATACAGGAATGTCTATCTGTACATTCTGCCTGTCACTACATTTTCTGTCATTACAGCCTCATCTTAAATAACATTTACAGAGATGAAGAGTCAGGCTTTTTACAGTAATGGGCCAAATGACAAGGAAATCCCAACATTCTTTAATAGAACAAGAACAAACTTCTTCCTGTGTTGCAGGATGATGTTTCATGGGTTATCTATTTTTTCTGAACTGAAGAACCACCAGAGAAACACAGACTTTGGTCTCTTAGGAATTTTCAAGTAGGAGGAAAAAATATTTTTTAAAAAATCACAAAAATCTGAACAAAATACTTTTCTCTGAGGACAGCAGTCCCGTATGGTAACAATCTGAGGCTCAGGTCAAGTTTCTTTTGTGATACTTAAGATTTAAGGCTGATTTCCCCAGAGGATGAAATAAGTAGGGGAAAAATGAAAGGTGAAATGGGTAGAAAAGGGATGGAAGATGATTAACAGAAACCATCAGGGATCTCAGTGCTGCCTGGCCTATCCACAGCTCGTGCTGTGGCCTCTGACACGAGATTGCAGCAAATGAAGCTGCTTAGTTATTCAGCCCCCCTCCAGACAATCAGGTAGTGGAAGTAGCATTAATGAGGCAGCTTTTAACTAAGGAGGATGCAGGGTGAAAGACCAAGCAATACAGTACATAAATATGTTAATGTACTTATTGAGGTAATTTTTTCTGTAGCCTGTATGCGGCTGCAAAAATGATTCAATTCATTTTATGCAAGAGAAGTGCATTCATCTCCCTTAATTAGGGAGAAAGCAGGACTGGTACTAGGATTAAAAATAAAAGTATGGTTGATTTTGAAGTCCTCTATGTACCCCATTCTGGCAAGATCTGATAAAATACTTCCTCCAACACTGCTTCTGACTCATGGGAATATTTGTGAAGTACATGACTGGAAATTCAATAGAATGGTCTGTACTAGTTTCTTGCTCTGGCAAGAACAGATATGCAGATATAAGTAAGAACACAAATGTAAGTCTACATATTAGTATTTTTATTAAAATATCCCTGGGATTCCCTTCAACTCAACATCAGACAACTCTTCACAGCTCTAGAACAATGGAGCACAAATGAGCCTCCTCAAAAGGCCATTATAAAATGCACTACATGAAAATCAAGAACATTCTTTTTACTTACTGGGTTTTTAAAGGGTGTTACCTGCAGCAACACTTACTCTCAGCTTTAGTTATTTTACATTCCTCATCTTTCATCTGCTGCATTTTTCATTTGTTCTCAGAGGAAAAATAAAAAATGAAGACTGAGCAATGCAGTTACATTGCAAAACTCCTCTGAAATAACAGAAGTGCTGTCTGCAGTGATGATAAATCCCAATATGTTACCATGCAAAACACCAAATCTGAGTTTCCAAAAAGCCTGATCCCAGGTGAGTGTGACACTTCTCCACTGCTGCTGATCATGAGCCTGACAAGCAGCTCAAGATGTTTACAATTCCCTTGCAGACAGAAAGCCAGACCAGACAGCACTGCCTGTATCACAGTCTGGAAAACAGGTACATTTGAAAGTTTGTAAACTGTGTGATTTGAATGACCTGAATCTTTTGTGTCTGTAAATTCTGTTCTAGCACAAGCATAAACTGACAGATCATCCTGCAAGTGCTGGGAATAACAGCTTCAGTTTCTCTGTGCTATGATGGCAGAACATGTCTGGAAACACCACTTTGAGCTACTCACTGCATGCTGCTTCTGATTCATCCGACCCGTCGGGACACTCTTCCTCCCCATCACATTTCCACCTGGCTGGGATGCAGTGCCCATTGTCACAAGTGAAATCTGATTCAGCACAAGTTTTCTTTGCTGCAAGAAGAGAAGAAAGTACTTGGCATGAATACAAACAGTGCAGATCTCCACTGCACCCAACCCCACCAAGGACAATATGGATTGCCCTGTGCTAAGAGGATTTATTTCACATTCAACATTGCTTCTTCATGACAGAGTCCCACATATCTCACAGATGGGTGTTTCTTCTCACTAGAACTCTTACCCCTCCATTATTTGACAAGGATTCCCCCTTCATGTCTTTTTCCAGCCATTCAAAAAACAGGGATGCTCCTTTTCAAGAAAATTTTCTAAGGCTTTTACTATAAAAAGCTTCTGCCTTCATGGAACTGAAAGCATGCTGCATGATTTACAGACAGGCAAGACAAACAAGTATCACCTTTCGAGTACTATAATCTAAATAATAATGTTTCTATCTGTGCCATCTATTCATGGCTTGTTAGTACATCTGTCACCACAGCAGATGATCATAAAGCACTCCTTCAAACACTAACATTCATTTCATTAAATGTCAACCACTCCACGCTCTTTGCTTTGCTTGCATTAATCTAGGGCTTGAAAAAGATGCAAGACATGAACTCAAGCAATTAATTGGTCTATTCCTGTGTGCCAGTGGTGCAGCACCATGTGCTCTGCAATTCCGGTCAGCATCTTCCCTCTGCGGCACAAAGAGAAAATTCCACTTCAATTGGGTCCCTTCAGGCTGAGGCCTCGGTGTTGGTGTGACACCACTCACTCACTGCTTTGGCAGTGGTGACTTCAGTGCCTTTTCTGCTGAGTCCTGAGCCAGGGCTGGGGCTCAGTGTCACCACACTGAAGTGAAATGCTCTCTGGCTAACTGGGATCTACCTTTGGTAGCCATCAATGGCACAGGAAGTGCTGCAGGGAGATTTGTCTCTTCCCCCTGCAAAGCTGCTCACAGCCTAATAGGATCACAGGAAAATTCAGGTAATGAAGGACCTCAGGAGGTCACCACGTCCAACCTCCTACTCAAGACAGGCTCAGCTCTGAGGTCAGACCAGGCTGTTCTGTGTTTTATCCAAAAACCCCAAGATGGAGCCAGCACAACCTCCCTGGGCAACCTATTCCATATCTTAGCTGCCCTCACACACAGTGAGACCTGGGCTTGCCAAGCCATTCTCTCTTACAAGTCATGTGCACACACATTGCTACATCAATACTTCCTCCAGCAAACATTTTCAAAGCATTAAGCACAACAAATAAGCCTCTGGGGTTTGATCTTTTACTTTCCTTTCTTGTTTTCCTACATGAGCTGCTGTCAGGAAGGGAGTCATGTTAAATATCACTCACGTGCCCACACAGGAAACATGGAGCGTTTCTGTGTGAGGTGCTGGAGAGACCTCCATGGCTGAAATAAAGCACTCATTTTCTAGCACACAAAACATGCAGCTTCCCTGAGCAGACACCCAGCAGGAAAACACTGCAAAGCACCACTAAGCAGCTGTACAATCTCTCAGGATGCACTTTTTAAAGAGAACATTCATTTACTCCCCTTCTGCTGCTAAATGAACCAGCTTCTGGAGAATGAGGGAGGGGAAAATGGACAATTTTCAATTTTCTCTTCAGCCATTCAGAAACATATTATGGACTAATATAGGACAGAAAAAACATTTCCATAAAAACCAAGAGTTTTACAAGACACCAGTCATACTAAGGATAGGATAATCTAAAGACATTGTACATCTGTTATCAGAGGGAAAAGACTTTCTCCTCAATAACTCCTTTCAGAAATCCAAAGCTTGTGAAACTGGCTATTGCACATCACTGCTGGGGTATTTAAGGCAAGTTGTAATGAATCTGGTGTATTTAATGGCCAGAAATGCTGACACTGATAGGATACCCATGCACAGCTGAAGTGAGAGCACTCTCCTGCTGGCTGGGAAGCTCACTGGGTAAAATGTTACTAACTGCTCTTAGGGGAAGGCTGTGGCATCTAGAAATGAAACCATCACAGCTCCATCCAGAAAGGAGAGACCAGTGTAATACTGGAGACATTAGAAATTCAATTTTTAAAATGTGCTCCCTCCCTTCAGCAGAATGAAGCTGGGCACAAACACCCAGCAGCAGTGGCCGAGTGCAGAAGTGTCACTGTGTCCCCATGTCCTCCTGAAGGTCCAACAGTCCCATGACAAAAATCAGCAGGATAGAAAAGTGTTTGGTTTGTGTTTGAATCTAAATTGTCTAATCTCTTCAAGGAACAGAATTAAGAAAGGGGGAGCTCAAACCTTTTCTATGAATCTTATTTTTACTTCTGCTGTTTAATTTTTTTTATTATTTATATTTTAAATATTATCTTTTATTTGCAATTATTTTTTACTACTATTACTCTCCACCATGGGGTGAGAGCTCTGCAGACTGTCTCAATTCAAATAACTCCACTTTCTGTTGCAAACAGCAACCCAGATTATTCAAACTGCAAGAATACTGAAGCACTGTCTCATTTCTCACCTATAATACAAGACTGGAATGACTTTATTTCCAACCAGATTTACCTTCTGGCGCTCAATCCTCATGTCTCTGGGATCACAATGCAGGCAGGGAGCAGTTAATTAAAATATCAGCTCTCTGCTTTTCCCTTCCTTTTTCTTTTTGAAGTTTGATAACCCTTTTTATTAATCTCCCATGTTATACACCTTCATTCTATCAATAATTCATTCAGACTCAGACCATAAATTGCCAGTGGTGCATTAAAATGTAAAATAAATAAATACATCCCTTTTAGACAATGGGGAGGACAGGAGTTCATTTTACAGCTTCACCTGGCTCAGAAATAGTCAAGCAAAATTAATTGTCCCCCTGAGATGCATTTCCTTTGCCGTAAGCAGCCCAGGCAGCCCTGCTCACGTCTCCTCCAGATGAACATAAACAAACAGCAGTGAGCAGTCCCAGCATCCCCGAGCCTCTGCTCCTCGGGGGGCAAACGATGCCTGGAAGGAGAAGAGAGAGGCTCCAAAGCCTTTCATCCCCTGCCCTGCTCGGTGCACAGGGACACCAAAGAGGCTGCCTGCTCCTCTTTGGACTCCTGCTCCATTTGCCTTCAGTTCCTGCTCTTCCTTTCCCACGTGTGCAGGTGGACACATCTGGCACAGCTCCTCTGGCTCCTGTGTGACCATGGCTCAGCTCCCACAGGGAATGGGCCCTGCCTTGGGCAGCTCTCCAAAGGAGCCCTTAGTTAAAGTCAGCCATTCCTGCTTCTCTCCTCCCAGCAAGACAGGCAAGGGAAGAGGGAAAGGGGGCTTCAATTTTACCCAGCAGTGACAGAAAAATACCCTAACATGCTGAATTTTAAATAAAACTGCATCAAACCCAACATGGCCCCTCATTTTCCAAAATGTCCTTTTCCGTTCCATTACTCACATCTCTCATCCTGACCTGCAAGCAAGGATTCAGGGGTCATCCCTGCAGCAAATTAAAAGCAGAGAACCCAGAGAGAGTGGTGTAGAACATGAACATTTACTGAGTGATTTCATAAAAAAGCAATGACTGGGACATGTTTAATTAGACTGGAGGGAATAAATATACATTGAAAGGAGCAAGCCTTGTACTGGCTAGGAGCAGGGACTGGATGACATAAATGTGACTTCCAACTTTCAAAAATACATCTGAAAGATCAAGTCCCTGACCCTTACCTGAACAAGGCATCTGAATCTAATGGAAAAGTCCAGCACTTATTTCTTTTTCCCCTTTCTAATAAAAGCCAACATCCCCCCACTGCCCTCAGTCACTTCATTTAACCTCACTTAACTTTTACCTCAGTTTTAGAGGCTTTACAAGGCAGGTACATCTTTCTAGTTACTGCTTATAAGGCCCTCCATGATTCAATTTGCAATTCACACCTTGTTTATTCCTATTTTGCACATCTTTAATATTAAGCAATACTCAACTCTAAAATAGTTTCATTTCTTGCTACTCCTGATTTTCCCAAACCAACAGCTGAAAAGCAGAATGAACACATTTCCTCTTTTATCAACAGTTCAATGCAGCAGTAATGTAAAAGCACAGAAAAAAGCATATTTTCCTACTACAACTTGCCTGTAAAGGACACTTTAAAATGAGGATTTGTTTGTTTCTGTGTGAGACAAGGAAACCTACATAGTTCTAACATCTAAACACAGGATTTTTAGACAAAAGGGTATTGTTCAGACTCTAGGTTGTGTATCCAGACAGAAAACCAGGCCAGTGAGAGCATCGTGGAGGTAACCTACAAAGACCCTGCACACCCTGTCCTCTCCCCATTTTCTCCCCTCAGTAACTCTTGGCCAACTTCCACTAATTCTAAAAGAGAGGAAAGATGTGGAAAATAAGTTTGATCCCACAAGTTTCATAAAATTGGCAGCTGAACAGAGAACAGTCAGAGTCACAGCTCCACAGAAGGAGATAAGGGCAGAAAGGGGCCACAGGGCTGATCTGCTCCTGCCAGTCAGATTCTGCATCTCATCCCAAGGTGGGTTAATGGCAGAGGGAAGGTGGCAATTAGGGATTAAAAACCCCAGACATCAAAAATCATTGCAAACCGGTTTAATTTGTTCCACTACCCTCATTCCTTTACGTAGATCCTGCTCCAATTTTAATTTCTCCATCAACACCAGACTTCCCACCAAACTGTGTATCTGTTCTCATTTGCAGCCAATATTCAGTCTTCTAGCAGAAAACAGTTTCACCCAAGCTGCTGTAAAAATGTAACAAAATATAGTAAAAAAAACATACAATGAAAGTTTTGCTGTGATCCTTCTGCAGCAATAAAATAGGATGCGAAAATGGGAGATGATGGTAGGCCAGAGACACTGAAATTCAGAAAACACGGCTTCATTTCCTGCTGGGGAACTTCAGTGGCAGCTTTGATCAGTGGTTTATCAGAGCCCTGACCAGGCTCCATATGAGAAGAGGAGCAGCAGCATTGCAGGAGTTGAGGAGTTTAAACACAGCCCACCAGCAGCACTCTGCCCTGAGAGGAGCCAAGCCCCTCGGTGGGTAATGGGACAGGGGGCAGCTCCTGC